ATATTATTGGCACGCTTGACTTTCTTAGCTTCTTTATTCGTGTAAATTGATTTCAAAAAGAAAAAGGTCGAAAGGAAGAAATTATTTTGTACACAGTAGTTAATATAAAGTCTCTATTAATATTGTCATTTATATGACGACTCTTCTCTCGTCATTGACTAATTACACTGTCTTATCCTTTAGTCTCTTACATGTAGTTTACGAAATATGGAAAGCAAAATATTGAAATCATTATTCGTACGATCTAATAGAGATAGTAATATAATTATCGACAAATTAGATTCACTTGCTTTTCTTTACACTCTTACAAATTGCACAAGTATCAGAAGTTAAAAGCAGTTAATAAGATGAAATTATTTCGAGTACACTGCAACGAAGCAGCGTTCAATCGGCATTATTATCCTCATTTTCGTGTTAGACTCTCCGGCTTTTCTTACAAGTCAGCCAGAAAAAGTCGAGAGTAGGTGAAAGGAAAGAATAGTGTTGTTCGATAACCGACTACACTGTACAGTGTTTGCTCATCTACGCTTATAATTGCGTTTAGTTGCTCGTACAGTTTGCAACATCATCGTCCACTTTCGATCCACCCACGCGGTACGTGCCATGCAGCGTCCGCGCGACGATCCATCGATCGTACTTTCATCGTATCGGTATCGGACGCCACGCGGGTAACTGGTTTCCATCAAATCAATAATTATCGTTACGTACCAATAATTATATATCACTGCTTAATACCTGTATACCGTTTCGGTCGTAATAACATTCCGCTTACAAATGGACCGTTCATTGGTGTGTATCTTATCCGAGAGCATCTCAGTGACTCTCAAATCACCGGTTTTGAGTCGCTGTTGTGCCCGATCTGTTTTATTTATCGCTTCGAAACGCTCGGAACGCTTCGTTTCGTTCCACGTCGCGCTCCCCGCGTGTAATTAATTCAGTTGCGTTCGGTTCGAATTAGATACCAGATAACTCCGGAATTTATTGAGTCTTCTAATATATTGGAAAAATCGCATCGTTCGCCTCGACTGAAAAATCGCTCGCCGATCGAATTAATTACAGGATCGAACCGTGTGATCTTGCACGGGATGGTTTATACAATAACTAACGGGGCGTTGATTAAGAAATTCGATGTCTACATGTCGCTCCTTTTAAAGTAAACGTAACGGTTATACTTTCTCGCTATCTTAAGAATTAAAAATAATTTTCAATTGTATCGATACAACAAAAGTGCAGAAAGGAATACGGTGATCTTGTACAATGAGGTTCATGTGATAACTTACGAAATGCTGATTGAACATTTTTATTTAAACAAATCTAAATTACATGTAACGTAAAGAAAGATAACTTCTGCACTCTTCTCAGTGATTTCTTGACTCTTTGAACATTGTTACGTCAATTTTTTAAAAATATCCGCTTATAGGGGATGGCGAGACGAAACTTTTTTATATGTACAGTTTATTCGTAGGATTTTTAGTTTCGAAAATATGAATTGAAAAGTTAGAAGTTCGCGTTGGATAAATTAATCAATTTATTTATTTATTTATTTATTCTTCTTACATTAAAATAGGGAAAGGTAACTGTTTCTTTTTGCGCGTATTACTGAATTAGTAAAACGAATGTGAAAATTGCTTGGACCGAAAAGGAACGCGGGGTGGGGAGTAACATTTTTTTGTGCTAATTATTCTGTGTACACGAGGCAGTATTCTGGACACGTCGATTTTCAGGAATATCCTCGTTAATCATGCGTATCGTGCTCTCGCGTTAGTACGTTGATAAAACACGAACAAGTGAGAAGAGTTGATTGCCGGTGTTTTAACGATGTTTGTTTTTTTTTTCATCGCCATCGATCTCCGTTTTACTACGGGAAGATCGTGTCGGATGTCTTGGTGCAAATCTGTCAACACCGTAATAGGATGCGCGCCGCGATTTAAAATATCGGCAAATATATGGGCATAATATGCAGATGTATGCGTCAAGAAGAAACGATCGTTGCCGTCGGGTTGCTTCTCTACAGCTTGATCGTCTGTTTATTTTGCAACATGGACCGAAGTTTAACATGCTCAATAAGTGCCACATGACGCATTTTCATAATATTATTCCGTATATCATACTTATTCGAAGCATCGAAAACTCTAGATTTTTTACGATATATTCGTGTAAAAATATTGGATTGGTGCATACGAAATGTCGTTTCTCCAGTGTTTCAACCACCTGGGCCAAATGACATCAATTTTAGTCTGCTCTGTCATCAATTGATTGTAATCATATTAAAGAGCAAGAAATACTTTTATCGAAATTGGAATCGTATTGTATAAAACTTTTACACGTATCTGTACGAGTGAACAAGGGATAGTACGTGCTTGTATAATACTTGTGTATAAGCAGCTACGCGTTTACGAACATTTATAAAAAAAATACTTACATATGAAATTTGTCTGTCTTTCGTTTCTTTCGGAGAGAAATTTTGCTCTCTTTCATTTTAACTATCGGAGATAATAAAGTGACGCGAAACGATTATATTACTCTAAATATTATTATTCATTTTATACATTAAGTAATTTATGCAAAGATTTGAACGGAAACTTGTTGAATTCCTCGATGGTAGAGCAGTTTGTCTGTGGAAATTGTGCAAACTATTCACTGGAAGTCGTATTCGACGATAAATCGGAAGAAGGCTGAGCAACATAATGCCGGTCTGTATGTTTTATGTATGAGAACAAGATTACTTGGGTACCACCCACTTGCTAAGTGCTACCACGACCCATTTCTGATCGGGGAACCGCCCTGGAATTCGAGACAATGCCGATCGATCTTAAATCGATTCGGTGTTTCTAGGCGATTGAGATTAATAGCGAAACATGTTCGTGGGATTACCCTCTAATATAAGGAATGTATTCCTACGTCGTAACGTTAAGGAAACATGATCGAGAAATTTCAATGACTTTCGAAAGCCGTATATTTTGTATCTGGTCATAATGAGCGTTCAAATCTCATTCAAATCATGATATTGGATATAAGTAATTGTAATATAGTACTGTACACAAATTTTAGGTCATCATGCGAGGCTTGCATTATATTTCATTAAATTTGTGTTAATGAATAGTGAAATTAAAACATTTGAAAAAATTAATGAAATTAACACAGATGTATAAATCTAAAATATATATATATACTAATATATAGACTAATATAACATTATAATATAATAATGTTCGTAATATAACATTATAATATAATAATGTTCGTAAATGCGTAGCTGCTTATATATATATAATATTTAATTACATATTTTATATTATATATTTTATTTTGTTACTACACATCATTTCATTAACAATTATTTATTTAAATGTAATGCAAGCTTCACACGGTGACCTACGATTTTTGCACAGTACTATGTACAAGTACTATTTCATAGTACTAGAGCTAAATAATTCGTTTGTCATGATTTCTATGACTTATACTACTTACTCTGAAAATTCTAGAATCGTTCAATAATTTTGGAAAATTTATCACGATCATAAGAAGAGAACTAAAATTTTAATTTGCGAATATTTATTGCAATTAGAATTCTTAACGATTTGTTAGGTATCTGGTACAATTTTGAATGAGGACTGATAATTGCAATAATTACTTTTCGCTTCTTGCGGGGCAAGTAGACTTGTATTTTACTCGTTTTCGCATTTTGTTTCGAAGTAATTGCAAAGTTCTCATAATATACGAGAGAGTCACTTAGGATATAATAAAATATTTATTTTGGAAAGCGACAACTTAGACTACTTCTTGATATAAACGTCTTCTCTGGTGGTATCAGCTGTTTTATTCGTGTAACGAGGAGCTCGTTTGTTTTTGCCTACAAAGTTCGAGTTGCACCGATTATCCTGAGCGATGAAAATCTGATAACTCATCGGCAAATGATAACTCCTTCCTTTCTTTATTAAATCTTTCGATCTGTATGCAGGCCTGTTATTAGTAGCCAGCGAGTCTGATATTAAATTGACATCCTCTAGTACGTTACTGGGTTTAAAAATCTAGCGACAGTGACATATTTTTTTCATATTTATCCTAACAGTGCAGGAATGATGGAAACGAACAGAATATTCTACACATTATCAAATTAATCATACATTAAAAATAAAACTGTAATTGAAAATTTTAGTTGTTATTGTAATTTACATAGCAGTAGGAGTAGGGTGCATGTACTGCACGTATCTATCTTGTAAAATCAGGAAATTAATTAAAATATATACATAGTTAACAGTATGTAAATGTACACGATTCATCTTTGTAATAGAGGCTGTAATATTTTTCGTGTCTTTATTAAATTTTGTTCAATTAACGATGCAGCATAGTTAAGTAAAAATAATATTAATATAACAAATAAATTAAAATAAAATATGAATTTATTGTCTCGGTATTTACTTCCTCGTATCTATCACAAATTATACAATTCCATCAACGTATAGTTGATACTTTTGTCAATAAAAATAAAATTTGCCCAATTAATGATACATTTACATTTCAATTAAATTAAAGAGTTTTCTAACTAATGTTTAAATTATTGTAACGAAGTATCGTTACGGCGAAGCATGTGTAACATAAATTTATTAGACGACGTATAAACAAAGAGAAGTACAATACGTGCGACAGCGGTGGAGAAGGGAGGGGATGGGTGTAGGTAACACGGTTTATTACTAGTAATTTACCTGGCTAGAACTTCGTACTTAGGTAAAGGCAGCCCTCGCAACCCTTGTGCCCCCTCTCGAAATGGCGCGACCAATCCCGAGTTATTTTTCTTCGAGTTTGTCAGGTACAATGAAATACCCCCACCACCGTAAACAAGGGTGAAGTTGAAGTCTGAAACCCAAATAGCAAATGAGACCTTTGTTACGACTTGTCATTTGCCGATCGGTCGTCGAGAGAAGAGTGCAGATACCGAACGTTTGGAACGCAGAGTATCGATACGGAATATTGTTACAATTATTTCACCCCTAGTGCAGCATTTCGTCGGTTCCGACACTTATGGCGAATTTGGAAAACGAAGAAAACCACATAATCGACTACGAGGTGCGTAATTATTTTTTGAATAATTTCAAGGATATTTAGAAGACTGTAATATTCATTGACATCTCAATTTGTCACTTTTATCGATTCAGTTTTTAAAAACAATATGCAAATATTCGTTTACTGGATATTCTAAAGCAATCAAATTCATGTGCTTGAAGTATCTAAACTGTCTAATGTCTAAGAAGTGACATTTGTCCAACAGTTAGGAGTAGGAAAATGTTAGAAGTAGGAAATTGGCATGTGTACAATGTAAATAGTATAAAATAAAAATAGCGTTTATCGCTTACGGTATCTACTGTTGTAGACAGTATATTTTTAAATACAAAAATTCAACAGTCTACTGTCAACGTTTTTCAATATAATCGACATATTTTCATTTTTACATAAAGTTTGTTTCGGTTAATGCATGTTTTTGCATAACGTCTATTGGATAAATGTTCGCAAATAATTTCCCTTTATGAACAAATGTATAAATTCAGAACTAAATTGACGCTTCGTTAACAATGAATCGAATGACAAAAACAGTAGACGCACAGAGTAGACGTTTTTCCTTTGTAATAGAAAGATCTTCTACGACCGAATTTTTACAGCTATTGGCGTTATTCGACGATACTTCCGCATTGTCGCATTTGGAGAACTGTAGCTTCGACGAGTCGTATTTTGGTTACAATTTCTACGACGAGCCACGAAATACAAAGATCAACGATATTCGATTGTCAAGGATCGACGATAGTTGGAAGGATAAAATGAACGATAGACCAATTTACTTGAAAAACGGTCAGGATGAGAAGGAGAACGTGTTTGCTGTGCCGAAAGTGTACACATGCATGTACTGCTTTAAGGGATTCTACAGTAGGTCTGCGAATCGAAGGCACCAGGTCTTCCACGCCAAGAAACAATTGCGTTGTCCCTATTGCAGAACAACATCCCACAGTATGAGTAATCTGCGAAGACACTTTGACTATTTCCACCGAGGCGCTCCAAGACATCAAATATTAATTGAGTCGCCATGAAACTACGGACTGCGACAAATTGAATACTCTCTACGGTGGAATTCTCTCTGACTCAATGAGAGAAAATAATGCTTCCGGTACAGTGCTAGTTAGATCGTTTTCGACTATCGATGCGAACCTTCTCCGTAACTCGTAAAGATTAAATTTCTTTTCTTTTTTTTTTTTTATTTGAAGCAATAGATAGAAGTAAATTTTACTTCATACTAATAATTTGTTTGCTTGCGTTTGGAAGATTTCTTAGACTTTGATAAATGTAACTGTCAGAGCAGTAGTTTTCAGCTGTTTTCAACTGTCAATGAAATTTTCTTCGATAACTGTTTAAATAAATTTATTAGTCGAAAATAACAGAGAAAGAAAATTATTTTGACAGAAATTCGGAGCTCAATAAAAATTCTGTATTTATATTGGAATGTTCTTTATTGCATGACAGCCGGTGATGAATTATAATTGACGACGAGGTGAATAGAAGAATATACAAGAAAACTTTGAAAATATAAGAGAAACGTTTTATTGAACAAAGTCTAAGAAATTTTCATTGTTGAATTCGTTGATTGGCAATGAATGTTTAATGCTGTATTAATTGGGAGACATGTTCCACCACTCGACACGTTGTAATTAAAAATTGTATCAGAAAACGAACGAATGTAAAATTTATTACAACAGTTAATTAACATCAAGAGAGACTCTAAGGATATCGGTCATTAAATTGTATGAAAAGAGTAAGATATGTGTATGTAATTAGAAGTTGCAAATTTTGTATGGTAACATCTCCATGGAGGCATTATAATCAAAATATTTGATATAGGCAAAGGTGATATATATATATATGAAAAATATTTGTGATACAATGAACTGAACCAGTTTTTAATTGAATTAGGTGACTATAGAATGTAAATACCGTAATCCAACGATTACTGTAAAACGTTTCATATTTAAATCTAAATTATTTTTATTACTATTGCGTAATAGAAGAAAGTATGACGATTTAGGCATTTAAAAAAAATATATATATATAATCGTTGAAATTCGAAAACTTGGAATGGGATTAATGCAGATTTTTGGTTGATAACGTTGATATTTCATGGTTCTCACAAATAAACAAGAAATCTACATTAAAACCACTCCAATATAAATATTTCTCTTACGCTATCCAAGTATTTTATTAAGCATTTTAACCACTGTTGCCATTAAGAATATCGGAACTGTACGAAGTATTCTGTTATTAAATAATTAAAGATGTAACATGAAATAATTATTTAACACAATTAGATCAGAAGTAAGAATACATGAATGAAAAATATTTATTAATTCTTATCTGGATGTAATATTTGTTATGTTACAGAATAAGATTTTACATAAAACATTTAAATTAATTTAATTCTAAATTTCTTGAAGTAAAATGTTTGATTGCGTGTTACATCATTAATTATTTAATAAACTATGTTTATTGAATAAATTATAATAGACAATATACGTGCTCTACGTCGTTTTAACACAACCAAGCTTTATCTAAGAGAACAATTTTATTGTAAACTGTGTTGAAGTAATAGTAGTTCCTAACTTAGATATTATTAGGTAATTCAAATTTACAGAATTGTGATTTATTTCATTCGCATCTTATTAAAACAATATATATTTAATAAATGATACGTCTGTTTTCTTCAATTTACATAAAATATGACCAAGTTTTTATTTATCTTATTAATTATTATGTAATATCGCGTATTCATGTATTTAAATAATTACTTCTACATTTCTGGCGATTTTTCGTAGTTTTTGTTAATTTCGCAAATTATATAAACTAATAATTGTTGTTTGGACTATATCTATACGAAAGATTTCCAAGAATGTATAGAATATTACAATGTAAATTGTTTATAATACAAATACATTCTACGCCCACTGTAAGTCTATCATTTAGTAGTTTCGAAGAAACCGTCATTCAAGGTACACGTGAATCATGTCGAGTCATTTGGGACGAAACGGAAAAGAAGAATGCTAACTGATAAAATCCGAGGTTCGAGCATTTCTTGAAAGAAAATGTAGTTGAGATAAAACGAACGACAAAGGCAACGTGATGTCACGTAGATCTAACAATACGAAGGTTAACGAAATCGCTTCGAAGTACCATATTACATCTGAAGCATTAAAACACTCGATTCTTATTTTGTAATGAATTTATTATATTGTAGTTTATGTGCTACAAAAAAAATGCTATAAAATAATTAAAATTAAAATTATCACAATCATTAGAAAGCATGTTGCATTACGCAACAATAACGACAAAATAAAGCTATTACAAGGAGTACAAAGTATGTTGGATTATGTTACAAACAAACATGTTCTCAAACCCTGTCACACGTTTCCACTCTTAATCGAAAAAGTTTTAGAATGAATGTAATCGCTACATTCTACGCTTACCATATGTACATTGTTTACAATAATTTCCCATAACAATTCGTTATTTTGCACGCCTCTGTAAAGAGAAATTCACCGGAATACGGAGAGAACGTAATTGTACGAATTGTTTTTAAGGCGGTATAAATAATTCAACGGCGACAGAAGATATCGTGCTTCTTTTTCGATAATTTCGACAGGAATCCACGGTTGCACTTCAGGCAGAAATAAATACTATTCATGTGACGAATCATGTGCCTTCTGTGGACGAGTTTATGAAAGAAGATCTTCGTGCAGTAGTCGCACTCGTAGATCTTCGGTTTTCGAAACTGGAAATCCACTCGACTTTCTTCCTTTCGTACGTTCGTGTCGCATGTTTTCACGCGATTCGAAGCGAGGCCCAAGTAAAGCAAACATTCAGGTATCTGCTCTTTCTTGGGAGCAATTTTCGTTTGCTGCATTTGCTCTTCCAGCTGTTGCTTCAAGAAATCGAATCTCTTCGATCTCTTCACGAAGAAACGCACAGCGATGCGATTGTTCAGCTCTTCTAGCGAACAGTTGCTAGAACTGACTGGTAAAGTGTTGGAATTCTGTAATAAATATAATGATCAATTAGGAAACGTATGAATTCTTATTTAAATATGTTTACTTATGCATTATTGAAATTTTATTTGAATAGTTAAGTAAAAGTATAAATATATATATGTCGCTTGTCATGTTACCATCTACAATATCATATATGTTCAATATATATTTATTGTAAATGTTTATCACTTATGTTTAAATTTGTTTAAATTTGTTTAAATTTGTTTAAATTTGTTGGACAGTGTTATTATATAAGTAGAATAATATATACAGATAATATACCAAGCAACATGTATGTCTATATTTCGTAATATGTAAATTAACTCGATTATTATGTTACACACTTTTAATATTTGACTGTTTACGTTTTATTCTTTTTGCACATTTTGCTTATCTAGGTATTTCTTGGTATTGAGAATCAGTTTATTTATATTAAAGAGATCCCGAAGTAAGAATCGAAACGTTTGTATTAAATGAACTACGCGTACATGTAACTTCAACGTTTACATTAATAATGAATTTCGTACGTGAATATTATATATTAAATAAAATATGAAAAAAATGTGAAAGTATCGTAGTACGTTAAACTTATATTGGTATCAATCTATTGATTTATTTATCCGCTCTAATTTTCATGGCATCGATTTAAAACAACTAATTTTCTTCTTAATCCGAAAGAAATTATTCGAATTTACCAATTTCAAAAGACGAAATCAATTCAACGTTAAGTGATCGAATATTTACCTTGTTTTCCGAAGACTTTTTCTTGCTACACGCGCAGGACGAAGTAAACATTGTAGAAATCTGCAATGTTCTCTTCCTGGATCAATCGTGATGTATCGAAGCACTGCGAAACTTCCGAGACGCACAAGGTACGTTATATTTGGGCCAAACTGCGTGGAATGAAAAAGAAAATTCCGTGCAAGTCGCTTTTAAATGACTCTGGCGGCTATAATGGATACTCGGTTCCATTAGCGAATAGTAAGATCAGGTAGATTCTCGTTACCCCTTTTACCCTATAGGCCCAGCGATTAGGGCATGGGGTGAACTGTCCTCCAATCAGGTTACTTTTCGGTATTCCGCGTTCGAGTTTATGCCAGGTGGGGCTGTTCAGACTCTTCGGACTCTTCTAGCCTAACGTAACTGTTTATTAATTATTTATTCCGCGTGAAAATTTCGTCAGAATACACTAAAATTATGCAATTAACTTTTCATGTTAACTAGTATCTAAATCATGCTGTTTAGTACATCGTACTTGTACATCATAATTCGACAGCGTATACATGAACTGTGAAAATGGATAGCTTATCTTCTATTTAATAAGAAAACGCAGGTGAAGTATGAAATATCTCTTATTTTCATGTACGATTAATCATTATGTACTATAAACAATTTTGTCTTAAACGGGAATAATTTCCAAAAGAAAGTTGGACCAAATCGCTCTCTCGTGTGACTGGAGGAAGATAAGTACTAACTGATATCACAAGTAATATATTTTTTATCTTTAAATAAATGGTAAGTTTATCGTAGAAAGGCGAAAAATTAATTTCTACATCTCACAGATTCAGATTTGTCCAAACATAAGAAAACACATCAAGCTTTATCAATTTTCGATATACAAATACGATAGAATACGTAATTTGACGTCCGAAAGTGTCAACCAATCAAGCTCAAATAACAACCAGCGTTTCTAGAGACGTCGAAATAGATACGATAAAATAAGGGAGAATTTATTTAATTTTTTGTAATAGACAGAACTACCCTCCGTTCCCCTACATCACTTACTATCGGAAATATTTTCTCCGTTCGTATTACCCAGCTTTGTACTCAATAAGCATTATTATAATTCACTAGTTGCTTACTCCTATTAATTGCATCCATTAATTTTAACAATCGAACGGTAATGGTTATTCGATCCGATTCGAGATCGAATCTGTTCAAGAGCATCTTACAATTTTGATACAGCGTGATATGAGCACTCGTTTGATGCGATCGAAGCATAAAAGTACGTACATGTAGGATCGATAACACGCCAGAGAACGAAGGATAAGAGGCTTTATGATAGAATCTCGAGCTCTGATTAATTTACCGCAATTGAGGAGCAATATCGCGTTCGATACACTTTGATCTACTAATTGCATCCCGTGCTAATTTCTAGTGTGCATGATACGCTTCTATCATTCTTTTTCTTAGCTAGTTGCATTTGAGGTCATGTTAGCTCGCAGGGTCCACCGTGGCACATCGTAAAGTTCGTGTTAATTACTGACAAGGATTATTAGTACTGGACGCATGTTCCTATTAATGTGCATCGCTATTTTTCCTTACCGTGATGAACGATCGATAATAATCGGTTTGGTTACAGATTTTTCTCCTGGCTTTCCTAGTACTTCTATGTTCCTTT